GTAGAGCCCATAAAGTAGTCTTCATTACCAGAAGCAAGTCATGGTGATTTTTATTGCTGTGAGTAAACTTGCAAGGTTCATAAACTCTAACAGCTCTAATAGTTTCAGTCAAACTCTGGTTATTCTGTTTTAAATTGTTCCCAAAGTTTGGCTGATATATAGAAATTTTGGTGAAAAAAGAAATTAAGATACAGTGATGAGCATAAGAAAGGGAAAAGTTCGCTTGGTGATTTTGACAACATTGTAGTAACTTCAGAAGAGCATCCGAAAGATAGTGAGAAGCCCCATGATTTTCTGATATGGAGGATAATGAGTTGTAATAATCTGCTTGCAGGGCTGTGAGCTGAATTATCTGGCATCTTTTCCACCCCTCATATTCATTTTTTCTGTGAATCTTCATGCTTTAGGCAGATCTCATGGACTGTGCTAGTTGTCCATGATCTCCAGGTAACTTTTTATGTGCCAGCTAATCTGAGTTATTGTCTACATGTCACTAGAGAGAGAGGCCAGATTGTTCCTCAGAAAAAAAAAAGTAATTCTATTGCTTCAGCTCCTGAAGTGAGCTTAGCATTTGGCCCAAGGAGTGCTACTGTCCTTATACTGTCCTTAATCTTGTTAATTCTGAAGTACTGTTTGGAGGGTAGTTACTGCCAGGAGTGAACTGAACCCTTCATGTTTTGCACATTATCTGAAATCAGTTCTTGTAGAACCTTGTATGGTTCTTCCCTGTATGCTTCTTCTGGCTCTTTTGAGCCAATATCTAAGGGCTGTACTTGAGTAAAGGTAGATCCTTGAAAAAAAAATTGCTTACAGGGCTTAATAGGGATTTGACACAGCAGAAGGGTTAGAGAGGATATAGCGCTGTGTGTGTCATAATATGACAGTAAACTTTGTTTTTTAATTACTCTTGGTCTGTATAATAACATTGAGTAGCAAACATTGCCTTAGTAGATCTTGCCCCAAAGAATTTGTAGTCACTTAAACCGAAAAACAGTAGGATACAACAAATGGTAATTTCATGATTCTGAAAAGATGATTATTCAAAAAATACAAGGGGTTAGTGGCAGCTAAGAAAGATACTCTTCCTTTGATAATTTGAAATGAAATGCCTTAAACATAAGTCAATTCTTCCTGTCAGCCAAGTGGTGAAGTGTAATGCTTACCTAACTCTTCAAAGGTCTTTACTGAAGCAATTTTGTACTGACATCAGTGTCAGACTATTTGAATAAGATCTGAAGATAAAGGTCTCAGAAACTGGCTTGAGTGGAATTACACTGAGGTATCTTACTCAATTATTTCAATTAGATGCACTGCAATCACTTGGTTTAGAACAAAAGAACAATTTCTGAACTTAAACACAGTGGATTTCAGTGTGTGGTTTTACATTGACGCATCTTGGAAAGACAGCACTCCAGACCTCAGATAGCCCCAGATAAATAATAAGCAATTTCCTCCCATCTTGAACCTACAGAGATCACCATCTCACCATATTTACACCCACACCTGCAAAATATCTAAGGAAATTATTAGCTTTCTTACCCTGGTCAGGATAAAGACATAGATAAAGAGCCAGAGATATTGATTTTACTGTATGATATCTTAAAGATTGCAGTGGTTCATGAGATAGGTAAGAGAATATGACACCTTTTACTTTTCTGAAAAGGGTTTGGATCTTGATAGCCAAAAAGACTATTAACTTAGTAATGCTGCTATCACCTGACTGCTGCTCAGGGAGAGATAACGTAGTGTTTTGTTTTAATTAACATTAGGTGTGATGTAAATGGATGTTTGCAGTATATTCAGAGGTGTGAAATAATTTCAAATTAGGTGTGGATTTTGCTCAACCAGAATTGTGTGTGAAGGGAGCAGTGAAACTTAGAAGGCTTTTATTTCAAAATGAAATACTTCGGTCTTGAAAGGTCTGACAGTCTGACATTTCTGAAGCTTTTTTATATGCTCTAATTTCACATGGCATTGTTTAATTGAAAAATGGAGATATAGTTTAATGCAATTTTTTTTGTGCAAATTATTTATTATAATTTTGTAGATGAGATAGAGAAAATACTTTGACAAAAATTTATTTGAATTTGAACATAGACTATTACTTACTCAAATTACTGTAATTTTCCTAACCCAGCCTCTGAGCTGAGCAAGGCAGGAACTGATTTATGAGGCACGGAGAAAGTGGCTGCCATCTCACATTGCTACTGTCGTGTGCAACAAGAAGTCTCCGCAAAGCTACCTCATCTTCCACCTCCATCTTGTCAGCAATGTGGCAGCGTCTAGCTCTAAGAAGATCCACACTTCTCTCTACTTAGCAGATTTCATGAGATGAATGAAAAAATGATTTCAAGCAAAATCATGATGTATTTTTATAAGAGGGGTTCTCGGTTATTGCCATACTTGCTTGATAAGCTGTGAAGATGGAGCATCAAAGGACCGAGTGTTTCACTGGGGGTACTTTTTGTCCATCAGTTCTAGAAACATTCTCATGTGAAATTTTGCTATGCTGGTGCCATTGCTGGGATAAATCATAGAAACTGCTCCATGGGCCTTCAGTACCGTTTATAAGCTCTGCCTCACCTTTTAAGTTTACGCCAACAGGATGATCCAAATCACAGCCATTTTCAATTCCTGTCATTTTGCAGCTTGGTTTCTGACAGCTTAGCTGTGCCTGTGAGTAGCTTCGTACAAAGGTTGTTAGTGAGCAGCACACTGGGTAACTTACGTGGAGCCAAACATCATATTAATTACCATTTGTTTCTTGCATACTGGGAAGAGCTTAGGTTTGCGTTCCTTCCATTGGGATTCTATTTCTTAGGATCTCTCGTTTGAGATTGCCAGCAGTTTCTGTATGAAGCATTTCAACTCAAGTGTGATTTGGTATGGCTGTTTCTGTTTTTAATTCTCTTGGCTTATTTCCAAGTACTTTCTTAGCATTAATTCAGAAAAGCATTGAGATTCAGCTGTAAAAGTAGGATGATATCAACGTAATTAACGTGTAAAGTCTTTCTAGAATCTCTCTTCTCTTTGTGTCCAGAGCAGCATTTTATAAAATATAACCACAGATAAAACATATTCTCTACATCTATCAACTCCAATGATATAATCCTGCCATGACTGTTCCCACCTATAGCAAAAAGGGAGGGAGAGGGCTTTCTACCTCCCCCCCTGAAGATACTGCCTATTATTCAGTTAATTCACTTCATGCATTCTGCTGTATGCCCTCTCTATTTTGGATTTAAGCTTTTAGATTTATTTTTCCTTCTTTATGCACTTGAATTTCTTTGTCTTACTTTCCCCATCCTGTACATTTTTTGTATATCTGTACTAAGGCCTGACATCATGTATCCCATCTCCCCTATCACCAGGAGGGAATGGATGTGGTGCTTGTCAGTGTGCTTGTTGACAAGCAACACAAAGGTTTTATGTATTTTGGCCATTTTGATTTACTGGAAACATTAATTTCTTGGAGGGGCTATTGGAAAAATTAATTCCATAGCTCTCCAAAATAACTTCTACACCTTGACTGGAAGACATTTAAGAGCTTTTTTTCTTCTTTCTTGTTCCATAAAGGCCTGGGTCTCCCTGCTGCAGCTGTTCTATTTTGAATGTGTTGCTCCGTTTCCAGGCAGACATACCCCTCTTTGAATGGAGTTCACTTTTCTCTGGCTGTTTTTCCATTTGCCTTCTCTTTAGGAGGTGAATTTGTCAGCCTACTATTTTGGTCTCTCAATTCAGCTACAGCAGTAGAAACTATGATCAAAGCTGCAACAGCACTATGGAGGAGGAAAACCAAAACTCCATTCTGGATAACAGATTTTTAACAGAATTGCAAGTTCGCAATTCTTTCTATCTTTCTAGGGCTTTTGTAGATGCCTTTTGATTTCCTCTATTTTACAGCAGATCTTTATTTCAGATATCTTTCTTTTTAGTATTTTAGAGATGGCAGCCTAAGTCTTTAGGCTCTGTCCTGCTACTTGGCTAATCCTGCATCCATCCTGTAGCATAGTGGCTGCATTGTCAGTCACAGAGTCTCCTTGAAATGTAAATCTGAGTTCTTTATTATGACTTGTGTAAACCCAGGATCACTTGAATAAAATGTTTTGGTTTTTTTTTTGTTTGTTTGTTTTTGTGGGAAGTGTCCTATAAAGTGGCCTAAACATGATTGACAGCATGTCAGAAAAAAAAAATACAGCCAAAAATTTCAGGTAAGCCTATTTTTCCTAAACAGTTCTTCAGGTTACACTTCTTTTTTGTTTTTGGTTTTGCCAAACTACCTACAATTTTTGAAAATTAGCTTTTGACTCTCTCACCTTCCATCAATATTAGATGTCTGCTGAAGCTTGATCCTATTTCTTCCTGTGATTGATATTACTGTGCTCATGTGAGCACATATTTTTGCAAGTTTATGATGGCTCCCAGGCCCTTTCCAAGCTCGCCTCTGCACAACAGCCACCATGAAATTGTACATGTGGATTAAAGCACAGGCAGAACTGATTGCCTGGAGCAGTGTTCTGACAGGCAGCCCACAGTTGCCTACCATCAGCCCACAGATGGCACAGAAGAGATGGAGGAAACTGTATCCATGGCCTCTCCAAAGGATGCCTTGAGATCCGCCACTGGCAGGGGGAAACTGGGAGATATAAACTTGACACTCTCTTCTTAGAGGAAGTGTGTAAAGGGAAAAAGCCCAGAAGATGTATACAGCTTTCCCTACCAATGTTTATCCCAATTTCACCAACATCTCTATGCTGGGTTATCATGCAGCAAGTAATGAAATAAGGAGGCTTGATTTACAGGTGTGTAGTACAGTTCCCAGTAATATATTAAAACAAGTCTCAGATGTAGAAAGGATTGAAAAGGACCTTACCTTCACAAATGGCCTTTTCACGCTACCAATTTCAATAGATAAGATCTGGCTGTCTCCTCCCTTCATTTTCAAAGATTCAAAAAATTATTTTTTTATATATATATATATATTTTTTTTTTTTTTCTAGATTGTTCGATTATTCTGTGGAAGAACTTAAGATACAGATACAGACAATTCATCTACTGACTAGAAGGAAGAGATGGAAAGTGAAGGGAGACTTTCTGAACATGGCAGAATTCACCCATAAGCCAGGAAGGATTGTCTTGAGATAATAACAAAAGGTAAGAGGCGTAAAGTGACAGGCAGAGATGTGATAACTGCAGCTTTCCTCTCACCTCTGACATTGTAGATGTCTCCCTCAGACGTAGGCAGGATCTCTTCCCATACAGAGGAGGCAGAGGGTGGAGCTCAGCGCCTGTATAAATTATATGTGTCCTTCAGGTTATTTCAGCAGCAACAACAAGCCGTGAGTGTGTTTGTCAGCTGACAGATCTGTTATCCAAATTGGGTTTTCTGTTGCTGTCGCCATCTTGTGTGCTATGGGAAGCCCACCAGCCAAGGTAAGAGAATTACAGCTCCTGTCTTTGCTTTGGCCTGACGCCTTGCTTCTGGGAATAGCTGGCTCTTGCTCTCGTAAGTAAACTCGCTCTTCTGTGTGTCTGTTGAGATGCTGCTGGTTTGATATAGCAGGGTCCTCTTGAAGTTTGCAAGTTTGCAGTTTTCCCTTTTCCCTTGCCCTAACTGATGTGTGAGCTACATTCAATGAAAATGCAGTAAAACGTGGCCCTTTTGTCGTAAGGTGTACATGTGGGAATGAACACCAGGGTGGAGCAGGGCTGGCCTTGAGTTTACTTCATGCAAAACGAAAGTGCCTTAGTCCTACTGCATGCTTTTCTCAGGATCGCACATGTTTGTTGCTTGCCCAAGCTAAAAAAAAACAACAGCTTTTTCTAGCAACAGAGCACGATTTGTGTTTAGCTGCAGGGGGGAGTTCTAATGAGCCATTTGGCTGATTTAGCTGTCTTTCATGTAATGTTTACAGTGTCTGTGATTCGAGGGGAGATATTTCTTGTTTCGACTTGAGTTTTCCAATGTGAGTTCCATTCAGAGATTTCAGCTGATAGCTTTCAGTATAAATCAACAGGATTATTGGCTCTGGGCCATGTTCTCATGTGAATCTTTAAAAAGTAATTGATGCCATGTCTGAATTATGTACAAATTAAACATTCTTTATGTCTCAAAGTCTCTGTCAAAATTTACAGTAACAAAAAGAAATATGGCCATTTCCAGGGTTTAAATATAGTGGGAAACTATATTATGTGTTATGTGTTATGGCTTATCAAGAATCCTTCATCTTTAACATCTAAGAATATTTACTGTTCCTTGCCACAGACATAATTGCAGGTGAAGTTAAAAGATTCAGCTGCTGGTAGCTTAAATTGATAGACTTTATGAAGGGTTAAAAATAGTCGGATGCTGGGTGCTCAGGACAAAGAATATGAATTATATATGTAAAGTACTATTTTGATAAAATTTGTACTTAATCTGTTTACCTACCTGTTAGATCCAGAGGTATGTATCCATCTTATAACTAAGTATCATCCATCCATTTAAAGTATCTCTTGTATCTATTAAGGTAACGCTGAATTTGATAGATGGGGGATAGCACAGATTAAATTTTATCTGAAAAATCTCTATTACAGAGGAAGTTCTTGCATTTGAACCTAATGCTACAGCTGCTATTGTCTGATATTCTCCCACTTTATGGGCAATATGGACAAAATATAGAGTTCAGGCATAGCTTCAGGTCAGAAGGTTTTTGCTCCCACAGAAGAATATTCTTTCAGTACTGCAGGAGCTGTGACATTCTGTCAGGAAAACGCGTTTTTTCAGTATGTTTAATTGAATGAATAGAGACAGAAATCAGGTTTTGTGTTCTTTTTATTTTCTTCATTTTCTTTTAGATTATAAAAGCAAGTTGTCTGGAAAGCATGGATACTTCATACTATCTAGAAAGGCCTACTGAAAATCTCCAAGTTAATTTTTTACTATTTAAAAATACAGAATTTGCACAGAAGTAGAGGACAGTATTAATTTGCAGCTTTCTGAGAAAACTCTTGGTTTTCATAAGGGTGTATTTTCTGCTCAGACAAGAGTTATCACTCTAGTTTTTTCGAACCATGGAATATTTTTTTTCTATAAGATACTCAGAAACAGTACAAATCCCTGAGGCAATCACCCATACAGGTAAAGAGAAGACTGGTAGAGTATAAGGACGGTCCATCCCAAACCTACTGTGACTCTTGAAACAATCCATCACTGAAAACATGAAATTACAATAAATACTCATAAACAAAATTAGATTTTCTTTCTAAAAGTTCAACTTCCAATGCCCTCAGCCCACGTTATGTATTAAAGAATCTGTGTGGGAGAGTGTTTTGGAATCAGGCTGATCAAAAGAAGGTCAAAAAGTGTTGTGGGTTGTTGTTTTTTTTAAGTTTTTCGCTTTACCCTTAATTTAATAAACTACCTCCAAACTGTAGTTGAAGTAAACCATCGTTATCTAAGATAAAAGAAATGATCAGAGTATGCCAAATGATCATATACGGTGTGAGATCCGTTACATAAGATATTGCACTGCTTGTAGAATGCCACTGGAGAGAGAAAAAATAATGCATGGAAAGAAGTAATGATTTGCGCCTTAAAAATACTGACAAAACTGAGAGAAAACTCTAAAACTTATTCAGAGGATGCCAAAAGACAGGGTACAAACTTTTCTTATAAAACTCTTCATATAGCCTGTTGATATGGCATGGTGGTAACTCTACTTTGTTAACTGCTTAGATTTGGAGTTGGGGAAGCGCAACACTGAGATTCCAGTTAGACTTCCAACATGTACAAACCAATGGTGATGGGAGGAGTTTCCCAGGTTGTCAAGCTCTGCAGAAACTATTCTCCTAGAAGAATAATTTACTAGTGAATGAGGCCTTGTTCTGGGAGCAGCATGGTGGGGCAATAAGGAGTGAAATCAAGGATGTGAGCTGTTGGTAGGTTTTGCTTCTTTCATTGCCATCTGAAAACTGTCTCAGTAGGCTTTTCATTATTAATGAGCTTTGAGAAGCTCATATATTCTCAAAGTTCTCTTTTTGGGATGAAACCCTGAAGTGACTAACTGCCTGTAAACAGTAGAGAAGGCTAATTATGTGTCCTCCTGAAGCTGACAGGCATATGACTATTCCCTGGAAGCCAGACAGTAGGCCAGCCAATGTGTTATTACAATCATCACTGCAAGGCTGGAAACAGATGTGAATTTTCAGTTTGCTTAGGGTTTTACACAATTGTAGCTAGTTTTATCTGCTCGGGTTTTCCCTATTTTAGACTTGAAATGGTCCCTTCAAAACTTTCTCTAAGAGTACAGAAATGTAATTTAATGCTAAATGCCATCAAATGAAAAGAAGATTTTTCAATGCATTTTGTTTAAATACTCTTTGGGAATTTGGACATGCCACTATTTGTTGGTCTGGAGTGTTGTTGTCTAGGATGCAGACATACACAGGCAGCTGAGTCCTGCACTCTATTGTTGGCTTCAATGTGGCACTATTAATTTTCCAGCAAATAAGGATGGTTGTATTTCTAGGCAAAAATAGAGTGATGTGCCTCAATGAAGACTACATTTGACACTGCATGTTTCCAGAAGCATTATGTTGGTCTCTGTGAGCCTATACAGGAAACTCTGGTTCTCACAAGAAAGTAAGGAACAAGATCAGTAGAACTGCAAGTAAATAACTCCAGAAGAGCTGTCTGGATATAACACTCATGCTTAGCAATTCGTATTAATAGCAATATTGCACTTTGCTTTTCAAGTTATGAAAACAGCAAATGAAAAGGTGTTTTAGAGCACTAGCACTTTTGAACAAGGGTGTTATTTTGGCCCATCTAAATCAGACCCCTGCTGGGCTACTCTGGACTGTTATAAAGGGAAATGAGCTCAGCCTTTTTCTGATGAAAAAGAGAATTAGCTCAATTCTCAATGGCTACCACAATCTGCAGAAACTGCAGCCTTGGGAGCAGGATGTTCTTCTTGCTTTCCATGGGAATTCGCAGTCTGTAGGATTTGTTACAGCCATCTTTACCCATCTGAACCTGTTTATCTCTTCCCTGCAACAACGGAAGGGCTATGCTGCACCAAATCTGAAGAAATTTAGTCACCTTAGATGATTTTTCATTAAATGAAGTGCTTGCTGCTGAAAGGGGAAGAGAGGAGGTATGAAGCTTTCTGGCTGTAGTGGGAGAAGATGCAAAAGCATGACACCTATCACAACTAAGAGTAGCTGATAATGAGCTGCAGATGAATCTTTTTGTAAGAAATTAGGAAATTTTCATCATGTAAGGTTCAGAGAAAATTATATACCAGCATCTATTTTTCCAGTGAAGGCGAAATCTGAGAATGAATGATTTGGGCTTCCATTGAGCAAGGGGAAGTTGATTACAAAACAGCACAGAATTAACATATTAATTAAAAACAGTCAGCCCTGTAATTGGCTACATAATCCAATATTTCATGTTAATGAAACCCACTAGGAATGCTGAGTGTTCCAGTCGGTACTTCTATGTTTAATAGCTATTTGCGTAGGAAAATTAAAGTCTAATTCTTTCAGTGGGCTACAAGAATAGTTTAGAATTGTCCTCACTGGAACTTGAAGTGTCCATAATGTGTTAAACTCGTAAGGTTCAAAATATTTCAGTTTCAAACTGGAAGAAAACATGATAGGAATGGTTCTTGTTCCACAAAAACAAATGTGCTTTGCATTTCTATACAGAAGGTGTTTCAATCAACCATTAAGGTCCAAGAGACAGTAATTTGTGATTTTGCACTGGTTTACCAACAGCATTTTTCTGTTTAGATGACTCTTGAATATCAACCTGAATTTAAAAAAATAGACTTTGTAAAATTTAATATAAAGCCTTATCTGAGTGTGCTAATTTACAGTTAAAATTGTGTCCATTTCATATAATGCTATTTGCCTCTAAAAAATGTTGAATTAAACTGAATGAAGGCAATTCTCATTTCTGATTTAAAAAAAAAAAAAAAAAAAAAAGTCCAGTATTTTCCACCCCATTTAAAAGGAGTTTCAAATTTAGTATAATGACTATTTCTAGAGAAGTTCTCCCTTCCTCATCTCCTGGTGTGTCTGAAGTTAATCATTTCAGTGTCAAGAAAATTAATCATGGTGCTACTTTTAAAAAAATTTATTTATATTGTTGCAGTGTAGTGGGATACTCTGGTTTAGACAAACAGATGTCTTGTTTCAATCAGTCTGTAGTTTAAAGTACCATGAAAGCTAATGGAGTGTTTTTAGCATGATTTGTCCCTGTTCTAATTTGTTAATGAGAGAGAGAGACTGTTTGTTATTTTTGCTTGAAAATAAATTTTAAATGTTCCAATTCGGAGAGCTAAAAAAAAACGGAAATATTTTCCTTTAATTAAGTTTATTGCATCTGCATATGTGTGTTCATTCAGGCTTACTGAAACATTTTTTGAAAGCACTGAGTATTTTTTGAGTAGCTGGGAAGCTTGACTCGTGAGAGTTTGGAACAAGTAACTTGAAATAAACATTGCCCTGTTATCTTGTTTCTGATAGGAATAAATCTCATACCTGAAAGAGGACTGGTCACGTTTCCATTAGATGAATTCAAGATACCTAATGATGTAGGATTCTGTGATATTACACCTGTAAATCAGGGCACTATTTTTCCTTCATCTGAAGGGCTTCTGCTGGGCATATAGTCCACCTAGAGCCTGTAATGCAGTCCACTAGATGCCTATTGCTGAACTTGGCCTACTTATAAACATAATGAAAATCTAGTCCTACTTGGGATGTGAGATTGGAAGCTTTTAAATATGGTTGGTAACTGCCATATCTAGAGCCAGAATCAGTACTGAGCCCAGACCCAGGCAGGCAGCTGCAAGTTCCTAGTGTTGCCTTCCAAAGGCCCAGTTTTGACCCAGCTGTGGCATAAGTTCCTCTGCGGGTTGGCAGAACAGTCATCACCACAACCATGTATATACCAGATTGTTTGTAAAGGGACATTTTTGGGTGACTACAGGAGCTTCCTATAGCGTTATATGAGCTGCTGTCTTCTTTCTTTCTCTGTCTTCATTTATTCAAGCTACTCAGCAAATAGTCTGCAGATAATCATCAAATAGTGGGTAATCGTGCTTTCATCTTAGCATGGCATGCTTCCACTGAAAGGTGACCTCCTCACTTCAAACAGGCAAACAGCAAGGACAGACAGTCCTCTGTACGGTTCAAAATACGTATGATTTCTGTAGGATGAGCTGACAAAACTCATTGCATTTGTTTTCTCTGCAGATGAAGATTTGTCCCATCTACATGCTTTCTGTAAGAATCATACAAGCCAGGAACATCAAGTCAAGAGACCTATGTGAGTTGTGGTTTGCTTGTGTTTTTAGTCACCTCTAGAGTTTACACAGTGAGCAATGTTCCTACGTTCTGAAGGTATACAAATAACATATACGCATAAAGCAGAGCAATAGAAATACTAACATCAGGGCTGTAATTAGATCAAATGCCTGAGGTATCATTAGTTTAGAGGCCAGATCTATTGGCATTTCAGAGAAACTGTAAAATCCAAGACTTCCAGCTGAACTTTCTGAACCAGTAAGGGAAAGTAGACCATGTGAGGGAACTGCAGCCTATACATTTTCTTACAGTCAAAAGTCAATTAGGGAATTTCAGACCTTCTAAAGAGTGTCATCTGGGATGTTTCATGTTAAATAATGTTCCTAAGTTTTTGACTAAGGAGAACCCGTGTAGACCCTGCCCTAACCACATTCTGAATGTGCAGGCAAAACAGACTTTTCTGTCTACTTTTTTATTCCACTTTCTTTAACTTCTTATCTCACTCTCATAGCCTCCTATGGCTCATTCTCAGGGTGCCTGATGGATCAGCCATTCAGCTGTCTTTTTTTGCAGTCTTCTATGTGCTCCTCAGCCAGCAAAAAGACCTCAAGCTGCCTTTTCTTATACTCTCACTGTACTTCAGGTATTATGTCCAGAGGTGGACACCAGAATGGCCATAGTGACAAGGCCTGTATTTGAGTCTCAATGACCTGTTCTGTCTACTCTATTGAAGGGACAGTTCCACTTTCCTGCCAAAACCTTGCGGGGCATTGTTATTCACTGCTTGATACCAGTCTGAAGTATTTAGGCCTCTCGGGCTGCAGTAGACGTCTTCAGTCAAGTCCAGACTCCAGCTCTGAAAGACATCAACTTGGAGATTTCTTTTCACACCGCTGTCAAGCTCCACAAAGTAAATGTGCTTTCCGACCTTGCTTTTCCCAAAGGACAGCTGCTCCAGACACTGACCACACTAACCATAAAAAATGGGTTTAGGCTGGAATTGAGAAGATTTCCAACCTGTTTTTCAGCCTACAGTGGCCTGTAACTGCAACAGATGTTCCCCAGTAGCTAACCCTTCTAGACAGCAGTCATGTCCCCCCGTGTTTGCGTTATGAAACTGAGCAAGCCAGTCTCATGTCATCTTGTCTATAATATGTGTTTTCCTTTCCTGTAACCATCCTAATTGTCCTTTTTGGAACTAGCATTAGTTTCAGTTAAACTTTTAAACACAATTGACTGGAATGGTAGGGAATATGCCTGATGAATGGTTAGTGGGCTCTTTTCTACTTCTTTCTCTTCACATGGGAAACACTGCTCTCAGTGTATCTTGTGTGTGCATGCGTGCATGTGATATTTGCCATTTGTAGCTACCCAGAAATCAGTTTGTATACCAAGATCCTTGGTTGCTTCCAACCAGTGATCTCTTTATTTATTATTATTATTACTTTTTAAAGTATTTATTATTCCCCAGAATCATGGCCTTGCCCATCTATAATATTGGCGTCTGGATTTTATTTTATTTTTCTGCTGCAGTGACTGCATCAGACTGCTATGTGCGCTTGTGGCTGCCATCTGCTTCAAATGAAAAGCTTCAGACCAAAACTATCAAGAATTCGGACAACCCTGTCTGGAATGAGACTTTCTACTTTAGGATCCAGAGAGAAGTTGAGGTATTTTAAAAAAAAATGGAAATTTTACAATTTTGAATTGCTGGGAGTCCACAATTGACTCCTCGTTGATCAAATGTGCTAAATAACTTAAGACATCGCTTATGAGATGGAATTTCCACCTGATTTGTTAGCACAAAACAGCAGATACGCAGAGTAGCATTCCCCTCAACAAGTAGACATCTGTGATTTAAATTCCTATATCTGAGCTAGTCTGAATTCCCTATGTTGTCTCCTGAGGGATATAAGTACTGCTGTAGCATGTCTCATCTCTGGGCTATTTTGAATGGTTAGAGTACAACGAGTATTTCATCTGTTGGTTTTAAGGGAAGGATAGAGGAGTTGCTGCATAGTTAATAGAACTTTGAGGATGAACAAACTTAATAAGTGCATTCTTTGGGTAGGTTATCAGAAGTGGTGCAGAGCACCAAACATCTTCTCTGTCTTGGAATAGTGAGATTGCTGATGGCTGTTGTCTTCTACTCCATGATATATTTCCCAGGGCTGGATTTTAATGATTCAGTTCCACATTACCAGACTCCTGAAAGCACAGGTTCCATTATTCATACCACTGTGCTAGTCAATCAGCTACAAAAGTCTGTAATCATTTTATTTAAATTTTTTCCTGAAAACAGCAGGTCAATAAGAGTTCGTATTTATTTTCTTCTACTACCAGAACATTTTAGAATTGGCGGTGTGTGACGAAGATCCACTCACCAAAGATGACATGCAGTTCACAGTTCTTTTTAATATTGCTAGAGTCAGACCTGGAGAAAGAGTCCGTGAGAAGTTTGCTTTGAAATCAGAGGTAAGGTCTGAAAATACATGGAATTATTTACTTTCCATGTTGGCTTTTGTGTTAGATAGAATGTGGGTCTGCATCATCAATATCTCAAGTCAGTTATCATTGTGGTAGATTCTTGTGACTTTATTAATCTGTTTTCACAGATTCAGAAAATGAAGCGTGTTCTATACTGTGCCACCATCTCTGTGCAGGCGAAATAAATGTTAATAGCTAGCATCTGTAAATACAGTCACTTTCATCATTTATAATCCCCCAAACAGCTTTCTTTTTGGCCTTGTTTCACGTTTCCTATGCTTAGAGAACATTTCCCTTTGGTGACTTCTTATTAAAAACTTGAAGATAATCAACTAATCACTTGAATTAATGATTCTTTCAGGCTTTTCCTGTTAATGTTCATATTGGATTTCTTCTGTTTATTGAGGTTTTCATAGCCAATAGGTAAGGGATGCCTGTCCTACTAGTATTTTTTAATAAGGAAGAGAGTTGTCCAGTGAACAAAACTGGGATAGTTCTGTGACAGTTCCTGGGCTTCTGTGAGTTATGGCTGAGGTACTGCTGTACACTTCCAATAGTAAAGAGACAGTCCATAACAGAGCTTCAGCTACTTCCTGAATGCTGAGAGCTCTTAACAGGGATTCCCGCCATGACTCTGCAGGCTGGTGGAATGCACTTCTCAGCCACTCACTGAATCACTGGGAAATGTTAATGATTCAATAACCTCCTTGGTTGGGAGTGTTCTTCTCCCCTTCATCTCTGCTGGATTCAACATGAATGTAATTTAAATGGAAATGACAGCAGAATTTGTCACGTTTGTTATTGAGTGTCAACGCTTTTATGCTGGGCAGACCATCTTCGCAGAAATTCATTTTATTTCTGTTTTATCCAAGCTTTTCCACTCTAGGTCTTTGTAAATTGTATAGTTCTACATATCCCACAGTGGTAGAGTATTAGTCTTACATGCATTTCCTGCAATCTCAGCTTTGGAAAGAAGTGACATACAGATTATTTGGTAATGTTAACAGAAGAGACATCAGACATGATACTGAAATGCTTTTCAAGTTTCTTGTGAACGGCTCATCTCTGGAGGCGTTCTGAAGGCCAGGTTTGATGGGGGTCCTGAGCATGGCATTGGGACTGGATGGCTTTGAAGACCCTTCCCACCAAAATTCTTCTATGATTTTGGGTGTCTCTACCAGTAAACTCTTGCAGTCTCCAATAATCTGTATTTATTTTACTCTTTCATTTTTAGAAAGAGAGGTGCATTAAGAAATGGGAAAGTTTGGAAGTGGAATTCTGGATGGAAAAAATGTGAGTAAAATTACAAAGCTAAAAGGCATATATCTGCCAGGCAGTGTAATAAGAAAGCAGAAATTCTTGCAGCTCTCTTCCCAGCAGTGAGTTACTGTTCTGATTTTTTTGTTTGTTTGTTTTGCCTTAACTTCCCCAGCAAATTCTGTCTTTTAGTGTATTGTATACAAATCTTATCTTATATCCTGATTATTGTAATGCAGTAACATTGGCAGGATTCAGTAACTTGCACATGAGATGCATACAAGACATAACACTGTAACAGCTATTATCACTAATTTAATAATGCCATGAACACCATGATGTTTCTAAAAGACCAGAAAACAAAATGTACGTGGAGTGGTGTAGACAGCGTTAGATAGATCGTTAGGTGATAGCTTAGTTAAACTACAAAAACATGCAATCTGCAAATAATACAATTACAATCCCTCCCTCTTCAAAGTGATAATCAACATTGTAGGAGAACAAATTCAGTAAGATAAACTTCTCTCTCTTTTAAATGCTTTTGGAAGTAATATAGTCCATTTAAAACTGACTAAATGCATGATTAGAACAGGCAGCTGTGAGTTGGAAAACACTCAGAAAATCTATTCTTTTATGAGGGACACCTTAAGAGCTAGTGTAAGTATCTCCTGCACGTGTGGAGTCAGTCTCAACCAGATTGAAGTTCAGAGTAAGAAGCAGTTCTTAGGAGTTGGACTGAGCAAATGCAGACTAGAAATAAATGGAAGATTTTTCACAGCTCAAGTTACTAGAGGTGTAGGGGATTCTCCATTTTTGGAAGTGAAACCAAGTTGTTTGAAGATAAATGCATTCTGCAGAAGTTAGAGAGCTGGATGTGCTGCTTTGTAAAATATCCTCGACTTTGTAGATGGTCAAAGATCACGTTCTGCATAACTTCAGTGGTCCTTTCAGATCTATGAAAGCAGTTAGGAATGTGTGCAACTTGGTGCCATTGGAATATTAGCTGTAATGAGAGGTTCTGTTAGTAGACTCTATAGTTATTTAATTCCATGAGTAACTCCAACCATTCAGTGACAGATCTGGGTCTTGCAAGGTGAGATGTTAGGGACAAAGTTTTTGTTACTTACCTTACACACGTATAGCCCAATGGGAGCCAATTTTAATTTGCCTTTCTCTGGGACCAGTTGTGAATTATTGTCTAGATCAGTCAAAGATGTCTTTCCTAAAAAGTATTTGGAGAGTACATTATTAGTCATCTTTGCTTTTCCCCAAGCCATGTGGCCGTTTGGTAAGGGCAGTACATGATTCCAAATTAGACGAGTTCACCTTTTTTTCTTGTAGTTTTAAGAACTGATGTTTTTATGGGCTCTTCTGTTAGGTACTGCGTTTTGGCTCATGTGTTTAGCAGATGGTCACATAGTGCACCTTTCAGAAAGTAAAGGATGGCACGAGTGTAACTATATTCAGTTTTACACAGGAAGTAATGCAACTGCTATTAAAAATACTGGATCCTCACAAATTGTTTCTTTTTTACTTCTTTTTAGTCCTGGCCCTCCAGAGTATGTCATTACCAACGATGTCCTAGTGGTAAGATTCATGTTTGAATTTAGCTTGGCGTTACTTTTCCTCTATCTCCTCTTAATCTTTTCCCTTTCTCTCCTTTTCCCTCAGCCATCTGATATTTTACAGGGAAAACATAATTGAATAGAGCATGGTCTACATTATATATTACAAATATGGGACAGTTTCCATTTGTTACGTTTCCCTCCTCATGGAATAGAAACTGTTTCTTGAAGTCCTCAAGTATCAGTATTTTGACCAGTCACAGTTTGCTAATGTTACAGAATCCATTTTTGTTGGCAAAGTGAAATATTGTGTTTCAGATAATGCAACATGGCATTTGGCAGGAAAACCAAAGGTTTTGACAGCTATGAGTCTACAGAAGACTCCAATAACTCAGAGATTATCTAATCTAACAGCTTTTTGGGACACACGCTTTTTAATAAAGAGCTATTTAAGTTGTTGAAACAGAGTCCTCTTTTGATATAAGTCAGCATGTGGTCCATTACCTATCTCCTCAGGCTGGCCAAACAGCTAAAGAGTACAAAGTACCTCATCCCAGCAACTCCAAACCTACATGTGATTTCCAGATGCTAGCCTTTAATACACCTGTGGTAAAATAGCACCTATTCTGTTCTTTGCCCCTCATTTTCTGTGTGAGGTATGAGAGCTGTAATGATTGGCATGTGTTGTTGGAAAACTGTCCTGGCATGAGTTATTAAAGGTGAACTGGAATGACTCAGGTGGAGAGTAGGATGGAATAAATCCATGATCTCCCTACATCTGGACTAGCAAGAAGATGCCTTGTAGACTAATCATGACCACAATACACAGAAATTCATCATCAAGTGGTTTCCTTCCACCTATTCTAAGTAATTACCAGATATGTATGTAGCTATGTTTGGACAGCAGAGTGTAGTTCAAAGATTCTTGATTTGAGGATAACTTGAGCAGGTATAATCACCTCTGGCAATGCACCATTGTATGGACAAGCTAGTTGTAAAGCATTACAATTGGTCTACTGTCCTGGGATAATGAATTTAATCTTCTGCTGCTAGATTGCTTCTAGCACTGAGCCCAGTTTAGCTTGATTCTGTATTATACCTAATGACTGCTTACATGATGGTTCATTTTTTTGCTGCAGTCATAGCATTTACTATTTTCACACATTTCCACTTTTGTCTTTTACAGTCCCGTGAAGTTTGGTGTTTGGAAGTACAAGTGGACCATAGTGAAAGCAGGAAATATTTGCGAGGTATGCAGATTTCTCTGAAGTTAAGATGCAACCAGATCATAAGCATTCAGGTCCAGGTAGAGGCACTTCAGGATACAGAGACAACTAATAACCTCCTAAAGGCAATAAAATTTAGTACAGTGAAAGTTCCTGAACTTGCTCTAATTTAACTCTGCATCTCTGATGTCTCTCCCTTGAAACTATCAAGTTTGGACACAGCAAATTTTGCTGGTGGAAATATGAGAGAGTGCTGACACTGGGAGCACTTCAAGCTATGGGGTAAATGCAGGAATACCAATTCTCATACCAGGGAGACTTGCCAGTGTGTGAATTTACAGAGGATTTACCACAAGAAATAAATACCAACTTTGGTAGCTGTTTTGCCTGGACAGCTCTAACATTCTCTAAACAAATCTGCTTTCACTAGAGGGTAAGAATCTTGTGCTTACGGTGCCTGCATCTCATGAAGGAACACAGAAAGCTACAGAAGACACAAATACCTTCTACTTCCATTGTGTGAAGGCTTGGGAGCCAGTTCTAAAAGCCAGGCTACAGGTAACATGTACTGGACCATACTGATTTTCATACTACCTGCTTATTTTCACTGTCATCAAAACAATGGGGAACTGGACTGTTTTCATTTTGTACGTAAAATACACCCTTTTTTGTTTTTTGCAGAAAATGTCTGATAAGGAAGATGACACAAACAATTTAAGTGACACCTTAACAGTACCACTGAAATTTCTCCCTGTTGGGCATAAAGTGAAAGTAACCCTCCCTGTAAGACATGTAAGTGCCTCACCATTTATGAGACCTTTTGGAGAGATGGGTAAAGTAACCCTCAGTATTTAACACAATGTCATTTGAAAAAGAATTCCTTTAGGCTGGGTGAATACAAGATTTCTGTGAGAAAGGGTTGGTTTTCTCAGAAGTATTAATTTTCTGTCAGTAAAATCAATAATTGGGGTTTCACCCTGACTAGTTTTAGTTGCATATGTCTAAATTTAAAGACCAACCTCTAGTACTGTTACACAGTAAAAAGAGAACGTTCAGCAGCAAGAGTTTGAGATGCCCCAGTATGTCTCTACTGTCTGTATGAAATCTGGGTGGCTAGCTCAGTCTATATACCTAAGCTTTAGGTGGAAAAAGTAAGATAACTTGACTCTTACTTCCAAAGAACAATTCTGTCACATTCCTCTATGTGTACAATGTTGATCATAAGTGGTGGACAAGTACAACTCTAAATTGCTTTAAAAGCAGAAGTAACACAGCTGTATGGACTGGTGAATCTCTAAACAATAGCTAGACATCTTTTCTCACACATTGCAGCAAATGAGAGGCAAAAGCAGGAGGAAAATTTCTTGGCAGTGTTGCTCCTATAGAAGGGAGAATGAACATTTGTTCCACAGCAGGTGATTCTTGTACCTCCTTAGCTTTTTGAAAGCATATGGTGACTTGCATTTCCTCTTAGTAACACTATCTGTAGCTGGATACTGTTCTCCATACTCAGGAATGAGAGGGTAGCTGTATGTGATACTGCTGCTGGATTAAGCTGGTTCATGGAGTGAGGTGGGAGTCCTGTTCACAGCCTGTTCAAGTAGCTCCTTCAGTGCCTCTGCCTCTTTAGAAAATGTTCGGTGTTTTTTTGCTTACCATTCCTTTCCTGACAAATTTTTCCCAAAAAACTATGTGCAAAATGGTGGGTAGTGCTGGGGCATTCAAGGAATCACTGAAAATCTAGATTTCTAAACTTTCTCTTCACGCAGTCATTTTCATTCCTGCTCACATTTCTTTTTTTACAGAATGTGCCACTGCAGTTGTACCTCCAATTGAATGACTGGTAAGGAGACTATTTTATTCTTTGAAAGTTTTATTGCTCTTTGAACAGTGTATTCTGGAGCAGAGAATCCTTCATTTAGATACAAGGAATGCAAAAGACTTCGGGCAAAATATGTCAAGAGTTAAGTCATCATAAAACAGTCACCACAACAGAGCAAAGTTAGATGCCTCTGGGGCAAGAGTCATGCTAAGATGCCTCCTCCCCCTACCTTGAAAAAAAAAAAAAAGAGAGAGAATTTTAAAGGAACTTAGTCAGATGTCTTTTGCTTCAAAGAACCAAAGACTGAGATTGGAGACTTCTTCCAAAGGGATAAGCAGGAAAAGGCAGAGGGAGAAGGAAATTTGACTTGAGCAAAACATCCAGATTCTGTACATTACTCAAACTGCATAAGTATTCCTGAGAGAATATGTTTGTGGAACCAGTGATATGAATAAAAATAAGCATCATTTAGGGAAGATGAAACATTAAACATTAAAATAATGAGACAGACAACAAATGTAAACAAAATTGTTTGAAAATGTCTTTCATCATACCATTTCGATGGAGATCCATGGTAAAATCCCTTTGAAAGAACTCGTTAGGTTCAGATGAACCTTTGCTTAGATCTGTGAAGGAAACATAGAAAGAATTAAGCCAACACTGCTACTGAAGGATATGTAGAAGTCTTTCTCTTTCTTATTTGCTGTTCTAAGCTGGTAGTAAAACTTAGACTTGAGACCATGTAGAAGCAAAACAGTTGATTTCTTTGCCACTGGAATCTGCGTTTCTGCCTGTAAATCTGAACAGCGTATCATGATCCTTTATGGTGTTTAATAGACTACAGTTGCTGAAAATAGACTCATATGCATTTTCAATCCTAATCCAGTGCCTCTGGATTTATTTGTGTTGCAGCACAGAAAAACTTGATGTGCGCTTAGGATACGATCTGTGCCAAGAAGAGCAGGAATTCTTGCAAAAAAGGAAGAGAGTGGTTGCCAGTGCCCTGAAAAGGGTTTTTCATCTGGAAAGAGATCTACATGAACATGAGGTCTGTGAGCTGGAATCCAAGCATAGGGTGTGGGCCTATTGAATTAGGATTGATGCAACTCCCCACAAACCTTCTAGTAATTTTTGCATGCTGATGACAAACCCATTGATTTGAATGGCAACATGACTGAAGTTCTCAGAGTGGCATATCCCATACTCATCTAAAATTTCAACTTAGCTATTCAGGCTTTCATATTCTTCAATAGGTCAAATTCCCGAAGTTATAATATATCTTTCTTCAAGGCCAGAGTTTCCAACAATGTGGTGCAGTGTGTTGACACAAAATGAGACATTGGTACATTTTGTGAGATGACAGACAACCAGGCAAACCCAAAATAAATAGGAAAACAGGAGTATTTGAAATTGACTTTAAGTGGAAATTTATGAAATCATTGTAATGTTCCTTCTTTAGGATTACATATTTTTTTCATTTTCCAAACACTTTTCACAAAAAGTGGAAATATTTCAGGATGGAGAAAGAGCCCTTTCTAACAAATTCCAGCTGAAGTACATTCTGTTGCCAAGATCCAGGGTGAAATTTAAAGTGAACATTTATATTCTTGATGTAGTTTTATTTGTTGAATGGATGCTGTCCAAAGAATCATTCTTTTAATTAATATATTTTTTTTTCTAAATCCTATTCATGACTTCCTTGAATCCATTCTTAATTACATTTGCTGCAGTTTTATTATTTATAGTTGTATCGTTATCTGTTGTAAATAACTGCAATAAAGAGCAAAGGGAGCAAGGAGATTTAGAATCACTGCATCTCATCCAACCTTGGAGATTGTGGAAACTCTCTGAGTATCTGGAGATTGATTAAAATAAGGTACTGGTAAAGGCTGTCTAAGCACTGATTTAATTTCAGTGTCCTCCAATGAAGTCTGAGGAGGAAATTATAAGAGCTGTAATTAGACTTTTCCAAGTAGGCAAGTGAGTAAGTTTTTGAAGATGATATTTATGTTTTGAGCAGGTCCCAGTAATAGCTGTTATGGCAACAGGAGGAGGCCTCAGAGCAATGTCAGCTATGTTTGGCCATCTCTTAGCTCTTCAGAAGCTAAATCTGTTGGACTGTGTTACCTATCTCACTGGGGCTTCTGGCTCAACATGGTGAGTAAGAGAAGATGTGACTTACTCTTGGAATGTCTGTGACGCCGCATTTCTTTCAAAGTCTCACATTGTTAATAAGTGAACATAATTCCCTGGTAAAGCTATTTACCATCGGCTCTTTAACATAACTTCTCTGCTTTGATGAGAGCACAAGGGTAAATACAGTATTTCTTACTAAGAAATAGATGATTTTCTCACATTTTTGTTCTGTAGGACCCTAGCAGACCTGTATGAACACGCAGATTGGTCACAAAAGAGTCTGGAGGGGCCACTCAGAGCAGTAAAAGCACAGGTGACAAAATGCAAGCTAAACCTTATGTCTATGGAGCATCTGAAGTATTATCACAAGGAACTTGCTGAAAGGGCAAAAGCAGGACACGTCTCATCTTTTACAACGCTGTGGTCACTTGTTCAGGAAATGTTCTTACATGGACGGGTATGTACCACACCACCAGGTATGTGGTCCTGCCACGCATTTAGGAAATATCCACTCATTTGCTTTAGCATCTCCCACTTTGATTGCATGTTACAACGTGTGGAACAAATCCAGAGGGACTGGTGCATCCCTGTATGACTTGTAAATAATGGAAAGGATTCTCTAGCCAGGACTTTCTGGAGTAGCTGATGGTTTGTCAATGCCTCTGAACCAAGGTGTCCAACAGATAATAATTTAAGTGGGCAAATATTCAGAAAGAACTGAACAATTTACCCCTGAAAAACCAAATCTTTTAATGTCTGTTTCTTTTGGGGCACTTCAGAATTAGAATAAACTGCCCTCATGTGATCATTAGTCTGAGACTTTGTAAAGATCTGTGGGATAGAGACAGTCAGCGTACTTAGATATTAATGTACAGGTTAGTAGATATCCAAAAGACAACCACGAAGGAAAGTTCAGAACGAGAAAGAAGCAGTTTTTTAAAGGAGATGTGACTCACAGATTCCTCTGAGTAATAAAATATCTGTTGTCTGTCAGTGCTCATGTAGATTGTGTCAGTGGTTTTAGCTCATGTTCACTGTGATTTTTTTTTATCCCTTTGATTAGCCAAGGAAGTACAAACTCACAGACCAGCGCAGGGCATTGGAGTATGGGCAAAACCCATTGCCCTTCTACGCAGTCCTCAATGTCAAAGAGGAAAAGTTCAGTACTTTCAAATTTAGAGGTAAGTATTCCAAGTGTTTATTCTGAGTCTTAGTAGGAAGTAAAGAGAATTTATAGGGTGGCAATGTGTATATCTCAGGGGAATACGGAAGGATTGCCTCTGTTGCTTGCCCTGACTCAAGATTCATCTTTTAATGAAGTATTTGTCTTTCTTGCAAACTGCTGGGTGTTGATTAGAAAAGGCAGATCTGCTGAAAAAAACATTCTCTGGCACAAAAAAGGCATTTCTGAAGTTGTGGGATGAAGTTCTAGTTTTGCCAAAGACACTGTGAGTGAGTGAGTGAGTGAGTGAGTGAGTGAGTGAGTGAGTGAGTGAAAGCAAATCATATGATTTTTTTTTTTTGCTTCAGTTCCACATCTATGAAATGGCTGTGATTGTTCCTTTGTTTGTAGAGATTCTATGTAGTAAAACTGTCAATTATCTAAAAGACAATCTGTGGAGTGGAGTATGATTGCTATATGGGTGTGATATGACACCCTGTAGACTATATTCAGCAAGAAATATTGAAGTAATCAGATACTAAAAAAACCCAAACATTTAATACTTAGGTTTGTGGCTGCTGTTCCACAGTAATACCTACGCAGGGCAGCTTGAATCAGGAAACTGCATGGCCATGTCCACACTGTGATGCTTTCTAATTCTGAGCTGATGTGTCTTCGAGCTTCTCTGTTGTATCATGTAGACTGACATGTTTGGTTTAGTAGATTTTTCATACTGGTCATTCCTTGAGGGTTGTATCACAGTTGTTTATTGTTTGATGATCTTGAGTTAGAGAGATAGGTGGGTTCCCAGAATCTTTATATAGCAATATGAGTCTACATTTTTAATGCTAATGTTAGACTCTTTCTGAGTTGGAAAAAGCTAGTGAGTGAATACTCTCAGTTCTTATGGAACTAGACAGTGTAGTTTGCAGTACAAACTCGTGATAGCACTGAGCTGCCGAGACCAGCAAAGTTCATGAAACCTTAGATAGCTGTATCCAAGGGGTAGGCTTTGTTTCCTTATTCTGTAGGACATTAAACATAGCATATGCCAAATCTTTTGTAGAGTGGGCTGAGTTTTCTCCCTATGAAGTGGCCATACCAAAGTACGGAGCCTCCATTCGTTCAGAATATTTTGACAGTGAGTTCTTCATGGGAAGGCGAGTGAAAAAGCTGCCAGAATCTCGGATCTGCTATCTAGAAGGTGATCTAAAGTGATACCTCTTGTTTTATTACTTTGCACTGCGTGGTGAATGGTCTGAGAGTAGTTAGCCCTTGAGGAAAAACACTGAATTGTTTTCATTATTAAGCTTCAACTCTTCTACGTAAACTATGATATAACATGGTCAATTCATACATATTCATACCAGGCCAACAGTCCATAGCATTGATACTTATAATTAAAAAAACCCAATTAGTTGAAATAGTCAACAGTTAACGTGTCGGTTCAGTATTTTTCCCATGTGATTTGACTTGCAGGTCTTTGGACAAACATCTTTACCAGGAATTTGCTGGATGGCTTGTACTGGTCCTCAAATTCAAATGAATTCTGGGAGCGATGGGCCAAAGATATGGTAGATATAGGTAAGGGTTTCAAAATCAGTATTCATTTTTGACCAGATTGTGCCTTCTGTTAAGGAGGTGAGTAAGTAAAATACATCATTGCAGCTGTTTGTGAATAATCTCTCACATGTTTTCCCTAAACTGGTATGTGTTGTATTGCATCATTCTAGACCTTCCGGTATGATTTTCACCTGTATCAGAATGATCACCTTGTGATGTTTTCCTCTTACAATTATTTTATTTTTAATTTCCAGAGGCACATTTCATGCTAGTTGCAAATGTTTTTCATTTAGAATTTATTCATGATCTGTTAAATGACTCCTGTGACTACAAATGAGAAGGGTGGCTCTTGCTTTTAGACAGAAGTACAAAGAAAGTATGTAAAAGGCAAAAGGCATGCTTGTTTTAAACAAAACCAAATATCTCTGTGTTCAAATGATCGTGCACATACATTTTTCAACAGATTGCAGGAAATATGGAGGGAAGAACAGCTAGCCAGCAGAAGTGTCTAGCAGAACAGATTACACCTATTTTTTTCTCATGATTCCTTTTCTATTTCAGAGAAACATTCTCCTGAGGAGGATACCACTATCATTGAGCCTCCATCTTGTTTGTCGGGGAAGTTGTATGAAATGTTTCAGGACATTATAACGAAGCGGCCACTACTGGGAAAGTCTCATAACTTCCTGAGAGGCTTAGAATTTCATAAGGATTATGTCCACCAGCGAAAGTTTATTGAATGGAAAGGTAACTGCAACAAAGATTTAGCTGCAGTGTGCAGGTAACATCTCAGATTGTTTTTTTTAGACTTTGGAAATCTCACTTTTAGAGATATTTGCTCGGGGTTTGGAAATCTGCTGAGATGGAACTATTTCACTGTGTGTGTTTCCTCAGAGTGACAAGTTAAAATGAATTAGTCCATGAGATGCTCTTTCACTTTTTGACGAGATTTGACGAGTCACAGCATGCTTTTCTACAGCAAGTGTGTCATTCTGCATAGGTATAGTAGTCAGAAGATTCGGAGAAATGTGAATTCTTTTTGAGGTCAATAAGCAGAGGTAACACTGGAAACATAAGGCAGCAGGTTATTGTGTTGGTCAGATGAAGGAGAAGATTGGCTGCAAAAGCATGGTTGCTATGTGTATAGTATTAGATGATTTAGTCACCTGTCCTTAACCCTTCAGAAGCAGAAATAATAAAAACCAACTGTAGAAAGTTAGAGCCACATAGATTTAGATTTATATTAAAAAAAAAAAAAAAAGTGTGTAGATTTGATGTATAAATTAAACATTAATTTTCTATGGCCTGTGCTCTGCAGGTGAACAAACAAGTGAAGTCATGGTTGTTTTACCTCAAAAACCATGAAAGTCTATGAAATGATATGCAGATAATGGAACTGAGCCTTTGAGCACCATAAATCTTCCTGTAATCCAGTCTTCATTTATGCCTTGAGCAGGTAGCAGTGTGGGAGGGTCTTACATTATTAATCTGATTTTAGCAACGAAATATGTGCTTCTCTGAGTCCTTCCCTTTTGCAGTTTGTGTTTTGTCTCCTCTGTTCCATGTAAGTTGCTACACCTTTTATGCCTGGCTGCCATTGCTACCTGAAATTTGCTGACAAGTGGCAAGAGGTGTGGAGCTTTTAGGGCCTGCAGAGTACTAAATGCTTTTCAGAAATGATAGTCTAATAGTAGGTGAAGTCTCAGGAATACAGCTCTGTCTTAAATACTTCCCCAGAGCTCAGATTAACCGAAACATTAAAAAGATTCATTAAATGGCAAGTGCAAAGCTCAGTTTTGGTGGTGATAAATTTGAGAACTCATAGCAGGCAATCATAGTAATACATTTATGGTAGTTTGTGCTGCTGAGGGAATTTCTGAGGAAGCACTTCTTCAGAGTCCCTTTTTGAAGGAAGTAGAGTTTTAAAATGGAAGTAGAGACTCTCCCGAGGAAAAGTCTGATCTTTAATTCATTTATGAAGCCATGAATAAATGCTGCACAGTTTTGTGTCCATGATAAGATATTGGGTGTAGTGAAATTTCAACTTAAAATATTCACCAGGCCAAATAGAATTAAAAAGTACATTCTGTTTCTTCTTTGAGGAGGCAAGCAAAGAACTCTCAGTGCACCAGAATCCCATCATCCATAAATGCTAAAAGAAGCAAATAATTTTGTAAAGATCTGACACTAAGGGAATGAAAAAAATATGAGTTATTACTTCAAGATGCTGTCAAATGTTCCAGGCTATGGAATGAGCTGGAATTATTCTGCACAGTTTAAATCAACACTACAGAATGAGGCCAAGGAGGCAGAAAGATGTGCAGTATTTCTGCAATCAACATTTTTTTTAAATGCCTAAGCACAGATGTTTCAAGGAATGAGGGGTCTGCTGTAGGCTTTGTTACCTCCTTTTGTCAACTTGAAGGAGTCTCTTAAAACACTATTTTGATATTTATATCACAGCAAAAGGTTTCTTGTTCCATGAGACTAGAAATGGTAGTGGGCTTGCTGTCTGCAGGGTGGCTGGTGGGTTTCAGACAGAGAAAAGAGAATCTAGCTATCAGATATTGGCTATTCATTTTAATATGTCAATTTCCATAATCTACTTTTTGCTGCTTTTAGAGTGTGTGTGAAATTTAATTAATTGAGGCAATACTTGAATACTTAAAGCTATTGGGAGAAAATCCTGTATGCACAATCTGATATTTTTTTCAACATGGCTAACATAATTTATATGAGAAGACATTGAAAGCAAGCTGAAGTCAGAGTTTTCACCTCGAGAGAAAAGTCTAAACCAGAAAATGCAGAAGTCAAAAAGGAGCAATGCAAAAGAGCAGCAATGTACTGCATTTGTTAGATTTGTTGTTACATTGTGAAATTGTTTTTGTTGTTTGCATTTTTTCCCAGTTCTTAGCAGGGGAAAAAAAATCGGCTAAAGCCTGTATTCTGTGAAAAAACAATCCCCAGAGCAGCTGTGAGGCCAGTGGAGTCTGTGTCTCACCTGTCCTCTGCCTGGCTGCCTCACAGCCTGCCTTTGTGAGGCCACGTTTGTGGGGTCGCATTATGGAGGGAGGTGAGCTTGGTCTCGATGACAAAGGGCTGCCTTTACTGTGTATCACAGCTCTTTTGATCATTGCACTGCTAACTGTATTCATAATGTTTTTCAGACACCGTGCTGGACTCGTTCCCTAACAGTCTGACGCCACTGCAGAAATATCTTTGCCTGATAGATGTTGGCTATTTCATTAACACCAGTGGTGCAGCACTTTTCAAGCCAGAGAGGAACGTAGATGTCATTATCTCACTTGATTATGGTTTGGGAAATGCGTTCAAGGTAAGAAAATCATATGATCTGCTCCTTGCAGCCCTGGTCAAATTCTTATTCTAAAGCCGTAAGAGTTCATAGCCAAATTTATATCTGATACTCAAATTATACAGTGACCAGCTACTCTAAAAGTGACTAATTGGTAAAGGTATAGAAGTGATCTTTACAGTACAAAGGTTAGCTCCTGAGGTGAGTAATGGAGTTTCATGGAGTTTTGATGGCAAAGACTGAATGAAGCTCAATTGCTGTACATGTACATACGTAGGTAACATGCTTACATTTTTTCAACTACATATTTCAGAGCTTCTGCAGGTCCACTTGGGTGATCAGGAAAATTATTTCCCTTTATGTGTCTGTAGTGTGAGGGGGCATGGGAACTGATCAGCGGGACAGAGTATGTGGATACTTGATTTATTAAAACTTTCAAGTAAAGAGTTGTCCAAATCTTGATCATATTCTTAAGAGCAAACCAGTCACAGTATCTTGGAGGAGGATGGAAGCTTCCTTCAAGACCACAGCAATATAGGCTGATAGGCCTAGAGATCTTAGGCTCCTTTCTCTGTATTGGATCATGACATTCACTTTCTAGGATACTCTGGGTATTGTAGTAGCGAGTGGCTGCTGAAGACAAGATTGTGATCTCCCACATCCTGTCCTCATGACAAATTCTAAGAGTGGCTTTTGTCATTCCTTCCAATAATTTAAAAAAACTCAACGGGGTGATAAGTGTCTTCTGACTTGTGGCATGTGATGGCAGAAAGTAGGGTTGTTCTATGGCTACTCTGGTCTATACCTAGACTGCAGTGTAATTCTAGGAACTGAATTAATTTGCCACAGTATTTCTGTGATACATGAATAAACCTTGTCTTAGTACTTCCATTAAGGCAATGACGTTCTGTATCTACAGCAATTAGAGATGACATACAAATATTGCAAGATACAAAAAATCCCATTCCCCAAAGTGGAGATAAGTGAAGAAGAAGCAAAGAACCCAAAGGAATGTTACGTGTTTGAAGATGCAGAGGACCCGAAAGCACCCATAGTAATTCATTTCCCTCTTGTGAATGACACATTTAAGGAATTCAAGGCACCTGGTAAGTTTAGTCTTTTTACTTGAATTTGGGTTATTTGTCTTTCTACAGTATTGATCTCCTTTGTTCTTCCTAACAATTTTATGAGAGGGCACAGCCTTTGTGTGAGTGAGAGTATCCCATCTTCTACCCATCAGGGTCATTCATGCATATTTGCCTCTATCTGTGGGATATGAATGAGGATGCATTTGGGGAAAATTATGAACAGCGGCAACAGAGGTTAAGCAAAGCTCATTTTCTGATATGAGATTCACCACTTAACGCTTAGAGAGTGTATGTGTGAACAGATACTCCAACAAAATCATACTTAGAAACTGCAGACAAAGAGGAGGTGCCCAGAAGAGGGAACTGGGCTTGTTAGGTGGAGACTGGACATGGTTCAAATGGCACTGTGCCATCAGGTGAGGCTGCTGAACAGAGGCTAGCTGATAAAACAAGTGTCTTAGGGGCATTTTATGTGAAACATGGATGAGATTATGCAGGGCAACACAGCTGCTTCAGCTTCTCAATGCTCCAGGCCTAAATGTGTGAGATATGATGCTCACCTGCATGTCTCTGAGCAGGCACTGATTCATCAGTCAAGCTGAGAGCAGCTGATATGGGTGGTTGGGGGAGGAGGGACCTTAGCAACCTGTTTGTGTGAATTTCAAGTTTAACAGTGGAGCTTTTCACTTCCAGATGGCTGAGAGACACCTTGTGGAAATTATTGTGGGTATTTATTTTTTCTGCTTTTAACTATTTAAATTCTAGAAAAGAGAAAGAATTGGCCTGTGAATTTCCCATTTACAATGCCCTTACAGACTGCACTTTTTTGTGCTTGAGGTGGATGCAGCTGTATCTGGATGTGGATAGCACAGATAATAAGGCTCTCCAAATATCAGGAAGTTTGGCAAAGCAAAGCTTGGACATTTTTAACAGTCACTTCTGTTGTCAGTCTGGGCCCCACATACTGAAGTCTCATTGCCATGAAAACACTCAGTTACATAAAAAGCTGATGTGTATCAAGCAAAGCTCACTATGGTGGCTTTTTTCTTCGTCCACAGGGGAAAAGCGCAGTCTCTCAGAGATGGAAGAAGGCAAAGTAAATCTGGAAAACAACTGTTCACCCTATTACCTCATTAGGCTAATCTACTCTCCTGAAAATTTTGACAAACTTGTGAACCTGAGCAAGTACAACATCCTCAACAACAGAGACCTGCTCTTTCAGGCACTTCAGAATGCTGTAGAACGGAAAATAAGTTGCACGACTTGGAATCTCCCCAGCCACTCTGGAGCTGGATATGCCTAGGCTGGGTTTTCATTCTTTTCCTCACTGAAGGCTACAACAGTCACATTACAATGAACTCATAACAATCACAGTCACATTACAATGCATCACAGTGTTCATGATTTGCAGGAGACTGAGGAAACCTGTACATTTCTCATCTTGCCTTGTTCAAGTTCCTGGTTTTCAAAAGAATTTATGCAATCTTTCTCACCCAAGTTTTCAGACCACAAGAGCCTCACAGTGTAGTTTTACTTGACAAGAAATGAGAGTCCTGGTTAGCAGAGACCTTTCAAGAATTTCCCAATGCTGTAAAAAATGGTGGTGGTTATAGCAATAGTTCTTTACATGTGCCTGTTCCCTCAATCCTGAGCCCATTATCAGTGCTTTTGAATGATACAATTATTTACAAACCAAGTCCTGGCCATTTGCATTCAGTAATGTCCAGATTTTCAGCTAGGCTGAGCAGCAAGAATTTGCACTGAATTGGTGGGCTCAGCTCTGAAGTCAGGCCAAAGAGTCATACATACCTGTTAACAGCAGCCAATCTGCAGTGTGGACTGTTACATTTTGTTTGGCTAATTCCCCTTGCTGATGTAGAAATTATTCCTTTATTCCATTCCCCTGCAAATGTTTGGCACAGAAATGCTGCTCCAGACTGCCACGAAGGGGGCAGTTACATTTCAAGAAGAGAAGACATGAGACTATGGTTCTTGCTTTCAAGTTTTGGCTAGAGGAAAAATTCCACTTAAGGCATGAGTGATTATTTTCGTTTATATGGGCAGTGCCTGTATGAATTAAAATGTCAAGAGCTTTTGAAATAAAAAACTCAGGGTGAATAGTTACCATAGACACAAGTAACTGCATTTAATTCAAGAACGATGACCAAAACCTAAGCTAATGCTTCTTATGGATGCAAGCTGAATGCAGGATAAAATAAGTAATGTAACAGAGTGCATAGTTACTGCATTTTCACAACTAGATTTTTTTCCTCTTTACAGTCTTTATCCCTAACATCACAGGCAAGGTATTTTTAATAGGTGCTACACTAAAATGGAACAGAAATAAAAAAAAGGAAATTCTTTTTCACACCTCTTTGCTGGAGGAAAATACTCAGAAAAGAACACTGCCTGGTTTTCATTTGCTTGGGATTATGGTGAGAAATACTGCCTTGATCTAAGAGCCTGGAATATTGTTATGGCTCTTCGCAGCATTAAAAAGATGGTAGAGAAGGATACGGAGTGCACGAAACATAAATCAGAGAAGTTTCTAGGTTTCATAGCACTGAAGGAGTTGGGCCTGCTTTTGGCATATTTAATCCAAACATAGGACGTTCACAGAGGCCCAGGAAACTCTTGCACATTTCTTCTGTGTTGATATCTAGAATGAGTTGTACTTAAAATTAAAGAAAGAGAAACAGATCTGCCTATTTGGTGTATGCAGGCAGTATCTGAGCTCAGAGGAGAACACCCACAAAAAGTTTCATTGCCTGAGCCCTGCTCCTACAAAATGCTGTCTTCTGTTGCAAGTAAAGGCAGTAAATAAGCCTCCGCAGTACTCGTGTATGGGGCTTACTTGTTGAGTTGAGGAGCACTATGAGAAGAGAGAATTAATCACATATGGCTGCAAGAAAGACAGAAGGAGCTGTTTCGAGTTGATTTGAAAACTAAGAGGGGTATCTCAGAAAACAAAGTCTTACCAGCAGGATCTGTGACCTTCATGTAGGAGAATATGTCCTGGTGCAGTATGCCATAAGTGCAGGCAAATGCACACAGGAGCAGAGGCGGCTGTATGCTGTTTTACCTCATCTACCTAATTTTTACCTGCTGCTAAAAAAACCCATTTTGTTTATGGGTACAATGAGTGACCCCTAACACCAGGAGATCTTGACAGCATGTAGCCAGCAGTGACACACCTTGAATGCACTGAGAAAACGGGCTCTGTGTGCTTCACCTACCTGTAACTGGGGCATGGTTTGTGCCTGCACAGTGCTGCTAATGCACACAGAGATGCCTGCTAAAATGTGAAAGAAATTGGAAAGAAACCACAAACCCAGAGTGCCCAGATAACCCATGGGAGTCAGTGGGGAGCGGGTTCTCTGAGGGACTGTTAAACCCTGTGGTAGGATGAAGGAGGTCAAAGAGGGGTGGGGGGTGTGAAGATGTGTTGCTGATCCCTTTGCCATGGAACTGTCACCCATGATCCTGCACTGCGCACTGGGCCAGGGCTGCTGGTTACTCTCACAGCCAAACACTGTGCTATGTGCCCCAGAGCCTCCTTGGGGTCCCGTGTGGTAGCCCTGTAGCATTAGAAGACAATACCTAAGTTTTAAATGCTTTCTGTTGCATTTCAAAGCCTGTAATTATGTGAGGTCTGCACCACTGCCTATAAGAAGGTGGCGTTAGTTTCTTTTTTGTTGTTGCGTGAAGCCGAGGGAGCTTGTTGTTGGTCTGACAGTGTGGCAGAAAGCCTTGGAGGGTGTTTGAGGGGGGTGAAGTGTGGCGGGACTGGGACGTGTGGGCTCACCCACAGCTTGCTGGGGGAATGGTGGCTGGCACATGCTGTCCCCTCACTACAGCTGGGTTGTGTTTTAAGACATGCTCAGTCAAACAGCCTGAACCCACAGAACCAGAAAGTGTACTTACAGTGCGTGATGTGCAGCTGGTTAGTGTGTCCTGTGCTCAGGTCTGCTCCTCGATCCTGCTCTTCTTTCTAGTGGACACAAGTCTAAAGGAAAGGACCACTGAAATGTTGTGTGCTTGTTCCTCATCCCCGTGTCTTGCTTATGGACAGGTCCATGCCTGCCATTGTGGAGTTATGTTTGTTTAACTGTTGAAAATGAATTCACGCCTGCAACGTGCCCGTCCAAAATGCAACCCAGGTCACAGCTCTCAGATGAACATTCAGCTGGAAAGCCCCCAGAAACACAGAGCTTGCTATCTGCTGCTGAACACAGAGGAAAAAATGTTTGTTCTTACAACTCTTAGCTATAGCTGTATAGAAATTGCTTATATCTATTAACTGCTTAATAATACAACCATTAAAACATAATGTTGCAAAAGAGCACCAGAACCCTGTCAGTTTTTATGCACTTCTTAAGCACAGGACTAGACTCTTTGAGGTAGCACCAGCACTGCTGCTGCTAAGTGCTTTGTAGAGCATTTACTGCTTTCAAGATGGGGTGGAAAAATCAGAGAGATGTTCTGTCTTACAGAAGCATTGAGAGGCTGGAAAAGAGCGGAAATATGAACTCCTGTGGCAAATAAATGCTCCTGAGAAGAATGACACAGGCTGGGTAGGAACACAGCTGTACTGAGCCGCAGCCAGAACACTGCTCCATTTCACTCTGAGTGATTAAATGTGTAGAGAAGCCTGCCTTTCACTGAGCTTTAGTATTATCAATTAAACAATGAGTTTAAAATAATAGAATCATAGAATGTAAGGTTGGAAGGAACCTTTAAGATCATTTAGTTCTAGACCCCCTGCTGTAGGCAGGGACATTTCCTCCTAGACTGGGTTGCTCAAAGCCCCATGCAGCCTGGCCTTGAATGCTTCCAGGGAAGGCATCTACCACTTTGCTGGACAACCTGTACCAGTCTCTCACCATCCTCACAGTAAAGAATGTCTTCCTAATATCTAGTCTAACTCCTTCTTCCAGTTTGAAGCTATTTCCCCTTGTCCTGCTGCTATATGCCCCTATAAAATGTATAAAAACAACCTCTGTAAGTTTTATAAAAGTTTTTTTAACGTGTAGAAACAGCTAAAGATCAACTCTAAGTGAAAATGCACCCCTTTTTGTTACTGTTTTTTGTTACTGAAAACAGTTCCAGTAGAGGCACAGCAACAGAGAGGGCCAAACTGGCCAAGAAGCATGGTGATTTGCTCACTTTACTGGCTGCTATTGGAATAAGTCACAGCACGAATTTAAACTCGAGGAGCTGCACACACACCAAAAGCGTTTACATAAATCTGGGGCCGTGCACTCTTCATTCTCCCACTGAAAAGTTAGTTGAGACAAAGGAGAGCAAAAACCATGCTTCAGAATAGCTAAAACAGAACCCTTACATGAGGAGCTAAGGACCTGAAGCTTTAGCTTTCACTTCACAAGGAAAAGCCTTAGCCATTGTACTATCCTGGGTGAAAAATAACTAATTTCTCCCCTGCTTGTGCTAGGTTTTCTTGAAGGGCTCAGAAACAGAGATAAGAAGGTGGAAAATAAGGCCCCAACAAAGTGTTACTCCTCGTGGTTGTGCCATACCTTAGCAAGTGGGGACCCAGCTCCGACAGCCCCACCTGGCACTGCAGGGTTCTGTGGGGTGCGTCCAGTGGTGCCTGGCTCAGCCCAGCACAGCAAGGCTGGCGTTGGTACCTCAGGTGACACAGCTCATCTGCAGACTGTTCTGAGTGTGCTCAGATGCTCTTCCCCTCTGGATCTGCTGATTGACTGGTTAAAAAGCTGTTTCAGAACAAGAAAAATAAAACTTAACTCTCCACAAGCCCATTGCAGGGGTGAACCTGCGGACAAGAGAGCAGGTTTTGTCTCCAGACAAAAACTCATGCCCTGCTTCTATTGCAGGCCTGCCACTTCCCTACATTATTTATTATACCTCCTAGTCATAAGTGCATGAAGATGAAACTTGCAGCTGTATCACCTTATTGCATATCCAGGCAGAGGCACAGAGGAAGAAAAGTAAAAGCCACCAGCAGTCTCATGCCAGAGGCCTTTCTTCCAAGCTTTGACTTCTCCTGGAAAAGCACTGGCAGTCACATCTTTGCTCCAGGCAAGAATACATTTTTAAAAGCATACTGACTGTGTTCTCACCATTCAGTGAAAAAGGGTCTGGGACTCTAAGCAGTCCTGGTGTATCAGCACATTGGTTTATTGGTGGCAAAAGGGGTGGTGGAAGGAAAAACTAACATTCTTTTCAGGTCCAAAATCTCCCATTCCCGGAACAACCAAACCTGTGTAACATAGTATGTAAGCAGTTGATCATGTTCATTGAGACAGCAGCTCTTGGCTTTCCTAAGGCATCATCTTACTGACCCATTTTCTTAATCTTAATGCCCATATAGTCTATTCAAAGCTGCAAGGTGCTTTGGGCAATGGGTTTAGCTTTCTGCTTCAAGCTTTCATTACTAATAAATTGGTATATGTAATAAAAGTAGCATAAAACTGTAACTCCTTGCAATGATAAACTACTCATCAGTGCATGCTGTGGAATGACAAATCCATGGAGAACTTTGAAAGAGCCAGGGGAATACTGAAAGCAGCAGGTTTAGCAATGTCAATGACATTGTCAACAAAAAATATACACATAACCTACATTAATGGGGTATAAACCAGTTCCTGAAAGTGAAACATTCGCAGGAAGAAAGAGAGAAATATCAAAGGATGGAGCAAAATCAGGTTAAAATTGGAAAGCCAAACCAATCTTTGTGCCTCAGATAACTACGTGAGATTTTTTTTTCAGTTTGTTCCTATCTGGTTCCTTGTAGTTGTAGTCAAAGTCATTCCCTTCCTTCCAGTGCTTCTGTAGGGAGGACCTCCTACTGCTGACACACATCACGGTATGTATCTTTTCTAACCCTCCTTGGGGCTTCTGGAGGGAAAGATTCTCTGAAATAAAGAATGTTGAAATGTTTCACATGCATCTCAGTTCAAGAGCCACAGCTATTGTTGCCAGCTACTGGCTGCTTATTGAGCAACAGCAGCCTATGCCTTGGGGAGAGTGATGGCTTGTGCCTCCTAAGCTGCCTCCTCACTGCACTTTGAAGTGCCAGGACTTAAGTGAGCAGGTAGGGGCACGGGACTTGAAATGTAGTTTTTATAGGGATGAGGAAATGAGCTGAGCAGAGGTGGATGGAGTCCTCCTTTGATATCACATGCACCTGAGGCTTCTGCTTTGGGAAGAATTGGTAAAAGCACAAGGACTGGGTGATCCAGCTGATGAAACTAGCAGGCTACTGTATCTATCCTATGAGGAAAAACACTACACCATACTTTGCTTTAAAATATTGCCCTGTAATTACTAATGAGCCCTAGCTTACCTGTAGGTGTGGATGCCACTTATTCTTCAATTAACATACAATAATGGCAGGCTTCCATATCACAATCTACTTTTTTTCAAGGCCTCCCACGCCTCTGGCAAATGACAAAATATATTATTGCCTCTCTATTTGATCATTATAGTGGTAAATGCAACACTGAAACAATTGCAGAAATGAATGTTGAAAATATTAACTATTTATAGCATAGCAGAATAATTTTGCAAATGTGCCTTTTTCTTAGTAAAACATCATGCTTGCTAACCAACAACATTACAACCCACCTGGATCTGATGAACATTTCCATTTTCAGCTGTTCAAAACAATTTATACTAGAACAGCATGAAGTGCACTGGTATGCTTGCAGGTGCAGAAAGAAAGGTTTATGTGTAATAATTTAATCCCACGGTATTTTAAATTTCTAATGTGTGAAGGTTGAATGTCTTCCCTAGAAGAGTCTGACAAACTCTGAAAAGTTCATTTCACTATGAAATAAGTGCTCTTTCATTTGCCCTTTTCCTGGGAGAGACACATTGGTGACTGCCAAGGGATTTTCTTCTATCATAGAATGAGACTAATGCTTATGTTCAGTTGCCATGATTTTGAAGAGTTCCACTCAGAGCACCAGACAACTAAAGCTGTGCTAACTGTGCCCTGCGCATTTGATGGGTTCCTTACATCAACGCCTCAAGACAAAATTTAGGGCATTAAAACATTTTAAGATGAGACAAATTTTTAACTGCAATTATCGTTTATCTATGGAGATTGGTGATCAGGTTGCAGTCTTAAGTCAGATCTCATCCAAAGCCATGGTAATGCAATTTGGTGTGACCGATGAGCCCTGGGAGGGAGGCACAGAGCTGACAGCATCTAGTTCCTCTCATTTTGTCAAAATCAAGCTCCAGCAATTTAAAACTGGAGTCTCTTATAGGCCTGCAGCAATGGACACCTGAATTGTTGCTGTATGATATCTGAAAACAGCGACAGGTCTTCTGAAAAATGCTCCATTGTGGATGCATGATCATTTCTTTCAGTGTATGCTTATCATCTTTTTTCCAAAGCAAAGTACTGTGAAAGGAAAGAGGGTATTTTATGCAGAAAATTGCCTCAGACCATGTTTAGTTGTTTCTTTCTTTTTTTTTTTTTTTTTTTTTTTTTTTCCTTTTCTTTTGATTCTCCACCTTTACATCAGGCTCTACATCTTGTTTAGCCAGCATCAGAGGACTAGTGTGGGTCCTTGTCTTTATACCTCTGGTCCTCAGTCTTAGCCACTGAACAAAGGCTGCTAAATACAGCTCTGCTGCTTGTTCCATTGAGAGGGTGGATGGGCAAACTTCCATCTTGCAGTCACTTCATGTGAGCTGTCTACAAGTTCCCTCTCCTTTTCCATTAAGTGACTTGGAGTATGTATTACTTAGGTGATAGGGTGAATGACAAAGTTGTATCCACAGAAGTATCCCAGATGTTATTTTTAATTATATTTAATGGCTTTACCAGATTTAATGCCTAATTAAAATAAGTTCCAAAGGTAGTGATTAAATTAAAACTTATGAATACATTTGCAGAGGTTAGATACAGTGGTGAAGGGTCTGTTTTTCATTGAAGCAAATGTTATTTTCCTCTTCCTGCTTCTAGTAGAGATGGAGGCAGTTTTGTGTTATTACCACTTTGTTCTTGGTTCAAAGTGGTGATGGAGGCTTGGGTCACTGCAATCCCATCTTCCTTTGAATTTCTGAAAAAAGCTGCAGATTCCTTCTCTGGTTTGATTCTGAAAGATGGTGTTCTCCTATGAACAACAGTCATCACCAGAAAATTAGGGGCAATCTGGATGAGTTTAAGTCATTGTGTATATTCAAAGCACCTCTTAGGCATCTACCTCAGCAGTGGAAAAAAAAAAAATAAATCTTGCAGAGGGTTTAGAGTTTCATATCACAGCCCAGAAGATTTTTACAGCCTCTAAATGCAATATAAACTAATTTACCCTACAGGCCAAATTTCCTAATTTGGCTCCAGCTG